GTAACATTGTAATAGAATTTAAATAATTTTAAAAAAACTGAAACAAACGGGTCAATAATCTTTTACTTGACTCAAACAAAAAAATTTCAATAGGATCAAATAAAAATCATTAGGACAAATTTTAGAGTGTTCTTGTTTTAATAGAGTAAACTAATTAAAAGTTGAACGAAAATCTTGAAGAATTGTAGTCAAAAGAATTGCAATTTAGGTATATGTTACTTAGGGTCCGTTTGGTTCAACGGAGGGGAGGGTAGGGGAGGTGAGGTGAGGGGAAGAGATGTATTTTAATTAAACGTATGTTTGGTTCATAAGAGGGAGAGGGGAGGGGAGGGAAGGGAGAAGTTTTATTCAAATATATGTTTGGTTCTCAGGGGGAGGGGAGGGGTTTTTATTAGAATATTAATAGTAATTCATATTTATTTAGTTGTACTATTTTCCTTAGCCCCTAAGTTTGTTAGAGGGTATTTTAGTATTTTATCTTATTCTAGTAACCCTAGTTTTAGCTTATAAATAGGGTGACAATCATTGTAACTTTTAATCATGTTTTGTAGCCGTCATTCTTAATAGAATATTTCTACCTTTCATCATTTATTCTACCTTTGCACCAACAATTGGTATCTAGAGCTCCGGTTCAGATTCATTGGGAAACACGGGAAACACGAGTGAACGTGAGGTCTTGTGTGTTTGATTTTGATTCTTAGATTCGTGTTGAATCTTGAACAAAATCTGATCAGAATTTTATTTTGTGGGTTGGGAAACACTGTGTGAGAAACATTGAGTGTATTGTGCAAGGTAGAAGATGAACGGAAACGGAAACATGAACACCAAACTTCCAGTATTTGATGGTAAAAACTGGAATCGTTGGATGATCCAAATGCGTGTACTATTTGGTGCTCAAGATGTTCTAGATCTTGTCACTGATGGTTATGTTCCAGTAGCAGCAGATGCAACGGATGAACAGAAAAACGCGCAGAAGGAAGTAAGGAAGAAGGATCAGAAAGTATTATTCTTTATTCATCAATGTGTGGATGTAAATGTGTTTGAGAAGATTGCATATTCAACAACAGCAAAGGCTGCGTAGGACACACTGGTGAGATGTTATGGTGGTGACGCATCAGTGAAGAAGGTGAAGCTTCAGTCCTTGAGAAAGCAATATGAGAATCTCAACATGAAGAATAATGAGAAAGTTTCTGAATACATCTCCAGAGTGATTCTGATCACTAATGAGATGAAGGCGTGTGAAGAAACTCTTTCTGAAGAAACAATCATGGAGAAGGTATTGAGATCCCTTACCTCTCAATTTGATTACATTGTGGTAGCAATAGAACATTCCAAAGATCTGAGTACCATGAGAATTGAAGAGCTGCAAAGCAGTTTAGAAGCGCAAGAGTTGCGTTTGACTGAAAGAACTTCTGAAAGGGAAGTAGAGCAGCAGGCTCTGAAAGCAACTTCTGATAGGAGGTATCAGAAGCAGTCAGAAGGCAGGAGAAGATCTGATGGTGGTCAGAAGTCAGAAAGCTCAACCTATGATAGACAAAAGAATGCTCAGAAAGGAAAAGAGAAGTATGACAAGAAGAAGATCCAATGTTACTGTTGTAAGAAGTTTGGTCACTTTGCTAGAGATTGTTGGTCAAACAAGGAGAAGAAATCAGAAGAAGCAAATATAGCCAGAAGTTCTGATGACGAATCTGTGCTATTGATGGCCTCTGAATCTGATGATCTGACAGACTGGTGGTATATGGACACTGGCTGTTCAAATCATCTTACTGGAAACAAGAAATGGTTGGTTGACTTTGACTCTGAAAAGATGACAAAGATCAGATGTGCTGATGACAAATATCTTAATGCAAAAGGTATAGGAAATATCAGAGTGACTCTGAACAATGGGAAAACAGCATTGATTCAGAACGTGTGGTATGTACCTGGCATCAGAAGCAATCTGATGAGTGTGGGACAATTAATTGAGAAAGGTTTTTCAGTTACCATGAAGGACAATCTTCTGAAGCTGTATGACTGCAATCAGAAGTTGATTATGGAGTCAGAACAGGGAAGGAATAGAACATCCAAGAAGCAACCTGTTGTGGTGTTGTCAACCTGTGAAGCTGAATACATTGCAGGTGCTGTTACTGCATGCCAAGCTGTGTGGATTCTGAATCTGTTGCAGGATCTGAAGATTAAAGTAGACAAACCTCTGAAGTTGATGATTGACAACAAGTCTGCAATCAATCTTGCCAGAAACCCAGTGTTGCATGGGAGAAGCAAGCATATTGAGACCAAGTATCATTTTCTGAGACATCAAGTTCAGAGTGGAGTGTTAGAAGTTGTACACTGCAGCACTCAGAAGTAGTTGGCAGATGTTCTGACGAAAGCTATCAAGACTGATCAATTTCTCAGACTAAGGGATGGAATTGGTGTTACAAGTTTTGATGGAATATGAATTAAGGGATGGTATTAGAATATTAATAGTAATTCATATTTATTTAGTTGTACTATTTTCCTTAGCCCCTAAGTTTGTTAGAGGGTATTTTAGTATTTTATCTTATTCTAGTAACCCTAGTTTTAGTTTATAAATAGGGTGACAATCATTGTAACTTTTAATCATGTTTTGTAGCCGTCATTCTTAATAGAATATTTTTACCTTTCATCATTTATTCTACCTTTGCACCAACAGTTTTAAAACTAATTTACCTTTTTACCCTTAAAATATTATAACAATCATGCTAAATAAAAAAATTTTAAAAAGGTATTCATAAAAAACTTAGATAATTAAACACAAAATATTTAACATTTAAAATACTCTAAAATATCTTGATGATCAAATAACATATTTATAAGATTAAATTCTACATAATATATAACTCATACTACAATTATATATTGATATGTAATATAATACTAACAAATTATAAAATAATTAAGTTATTACAAGCAAAATATTAAATAAAAATGAATAGAATAAAACACATGGAAAAAAAAAGTTGAGTCATAATAATAATAATAATAATAATGGAGTTGTCATTAAACAAACGAAGGAATTATAATAAGGTGACAAAAATTAAGGTATAATATTAATAAAGACAATTAAAAATTTTATTAAATAAAAGTGAGGATAATTTTGTCAATATAATAAAAATACATGTTATCATAACTCCTCTCTCCCCTCCCCTCCGAAAACCCCCCATTTGGGGAATGAAAAATTGCTCCAGGAGGGATTCTGATTACCTCCAATCCTCTTCCCTCCCCTTATAAAAAATTGAATCAAACACGTCTATTTTAAAATATTCACATCTATCTTAAAATATTCCCTCTCCTCCTCTCCTCCTCTCCAAAACACCTCAACCAAACAGACCCTTGGTTGGGGTAAATGGAGGAGAGGGGAGAAAATATTTAATAACTTATGTGTTTAGGTCAAATTTTAAGAAGGGGAGATAGATGGAGGGGACCAAAATCTTTTATGAACTACTTTTTGATTCCTCCTGATTTGGGGGGAGAGACTTGATTTTAATTATAATTATATTTACATATTTACCCTTATTATTTATTTAAATATAAATTTAACTTATAACAGTGTTAAAAGTTTTATTTTGAACAAATTTAATCTTTCTTTTTATATTTTTTGTGTTTTTATATCTTCATCTTACTATCATTATATTTGTTAAAAAAAATTATTTTATTTTTCATATTTTAATGTTAATTTTAGTTATCGTAATGTTTTTGTTTATAATAATAGGGGGACTAAAACTGTAATTTAGCCAATTATATATTATAATCGTTGCATTGTTATAAAATATTTCATGATGATCTCTGATTGAATATTTATATTTCGTCAATAAATTTGTATTTGAATTATAAACGGTAAATTTCACAAGTATTATGGTAAAATTAGAAGGATAAAAAAATAAATTAGTTTTAAAATACTTCCCCTCCCCTTATGAACCGAACATATTTGTAAATAAAATGTCTCCCCTCTCATCTTTTGAACCAAACATATATGTAATTAAAATCCCTCCCCCCTTCCCTCTCCTCCCCTTTGATAAAAATTTCTTCCTTCCCCTCCCCTCGATTGAACCAAACAAATCCTTAATGCATCAAACCAACACAAATACTGGTGTACAACTTTCTTTATCATTAATACATACTTTTCTTTATTTTTTTTAACTTTCTTTATCATTAATAGATACTTTTCTTTATTTTTTTAAATGGTTTTTAATGGTTACATACTTTTCGCGTTCTTATATTTATAACTTTCTAATCTCAAAATATTATCGCACCGTTTTTCTTATGTTCATAACTTTCTAATCTTATATGATTTCAAAACATTATCGCACTATTCGATATATGCGTCTCATATTGGTACTGGTACGAAGATAGCATTCCATAGTATGAAATTAAATTAAGTATATCATGATTACTTTTAAATGTGGTTAAGCGCCAATAAGATGAATTGTTATCAGACATCATTGGTGTAAAATATTTTTACATCAATTGCACACCTCTATTGAACTAGCATTATTTTGTTCGTCCTCAAAAGGAAATACAAAGCAAATTCTAAATATTAAAAACAAATGATCGATTGATAGTGTAATTTCCCTCACTCTTGTTTCTTACCAAACATAAATAAGATCACCATAATGGCAAAACTTTAACCCCAGTTGCCTCAAATCAAATTATAATCAGAAGCATAACCTCAGTTACAAATATATAATTAAGGCGGGGAAAATGTAAAGAAGCAAAAATTGAAAAGCTTAACTAAATTATATAACAAACACCAAGAGGAGAGCTTTTGAACCGTTGTGATGAAATTATTTGAAGCAACTGCTATCAGCATCAACAAACAAACCAGCTTGTCAATCCCTTTAAACATAATTAAAAAATAAAAATAAAAAAAACTACTTTGTTACATCCTCATCTTCTTTGTAACCATATTATAAGTACGAAATATTCACCATTGTTTAGTACTGACTATAAACTTGTTGAAGAAAAACGGGAATAGAAGAACTTCACTGGCTAATTAATGTCTTTGCAATGCTTCTAGCATTCTCTAAAAGTTGAAAGCTTTTTGCACGGTCATCTTCTAGTATTGAAGATTTTAAGTTTGAATAGAATTCCTTAAAAGCACTGTCAAAGTCTTGAATTGGACAATCATGTGGTTCTGGCTCTTGATCAATAGCCGGTGCTTCCAACAACAACAACTTTCCTGATCTACCATGTAATCTACTGTTTACTAGTGATTCTAATTTGGAAGCCATGACAATACCTCGGCTAATGCAATGTGGTGGTAACTGAAAAACATAATGTTTACAATAAATATTAAATAAGACTCAATAGACTTAACTATATATTTATGACAATAGTTAATACCCAATTGGTAAGAAAGATAACTCCGTAAACTTGTTATACTAATCTATTCATATATCGATTTTCTCATGCTATAGAAAAAACTTCGAACAGCTCTTGATACATAAATCAAAGGAAGTGATATATGAGGCCGTGAATTTACCTGTGCAAGCTGGGCAACCTTAAAACCAAAACTCCTCTCCGAAACACCAGGTACGAGCTTATATAAATAAGTGACATCTTCATGATCATTGGAGTTTTTACTTGAATCATCACGTGACGTCATATGTGACATCATATGTGACATGTGATATGCTGCTACAGAGCCTGGAAATTCAGTTTCCAGACTGGCAATCTTTGGATAATGAGTGACAAAGAGGACCAAGCTTTTCTTCTGCTTGAGAAGATAATGTAGTGTCGCATAAGCAATGGCCATGCCATCATGTGTGCTTGTACCTCTCCCAAGCTCATCAAGTATAACCAATGAACGTTCTGTACATCTATGAAGTATGTGTGAAGTCTCGCTTAATTCTTCTAGGAAAGTGCTTCTTCCTAACTGAATACTGTCAGAAGCACCCATCCGAGTGTAGATCCCATCAAGGACATGTAATTTTGCTGATGATGCTGGAACATAAGAGCCAACCTAGAGAAATAAGGGAATGTTTCAATAAAGCAACAGCCATAAGGGACAGGATTGTCAAGTAGAAGCAGTATGTTAAATATTTTGGAGGTGGAAATAATTCAACAATTTTGATAGTATGGGACGACAATTTGAAAGAAAAAACTAGCGTAATTTCAAGACATTCAACATATAAAAAAACTTCCCAAAAGAATAATTTCCCTTCAGTCAAAGCAGAAATGTAGCAGACAGTGCATTGACCTACCTGAGCCATGAGAGTGATCAGAGCCACTTGGCGAACATAACAGCTTTTCCCTCCCATATTGGGTCCAGTGACAATCTGACAATACTCTCTATCAGCATGCAATTTTGTATCGTTTGGGACAAAATTATTTTGCAAGGTGGTCTCCAAAACCTAGTGACAAATGACTTAAAATAATGAGCTTTTCAATACCATTCAGTGAGAAAATTGAATCAACTTTGTCAAAGTCATAAGTACAGCAGACCCAAACTTTTTTAGAATAGAGTATTATGGTTCTAGTAACCTGTTATATAAAATATATAATCATTGAATAATAAAGGGCTATGCGAACACCAGATTAAGCAGAATTATTTTGTTTCTCAAGCCAATAATGCCCTTAGCCCTCCGAGAAATCTTAGAAGAGATGACAACTCTTTGCAGGAAATTAATACAAATGACATGTGCTAAATACACACTATGACAGGCATTTTCATTACGCAGCTCAAATACATTCAAGTAAACATCGATGTGAATTACACACAATTTCAAACCATGAAATTCATACCGGATGTCTACCAGAACAAAATTGTATCTGAACAGGCTCATCATCGTCTACAAAACCAGGGCAGACATAACCCTGTCACAGTAAATAGAGAACTGTGTCACAAAATGCGACAAATGATTGTAGGCGCTAAAAAAATCATTTAAGAACAACAAACCTTATTTCTTGAAAGAGTGGCGAGTGAATGCAGACAATCTAAAGCAGCTAGTGCTTGAACAGAAGCTTGGAACTCAGCATAATGTTTACTAAAGTCCCTCAGAAAGCTGTCCCATGCAGCTCGGCAGGCAACAGTAAGCTTCTCTTTTGCTAATGATAACTCATCCAATGCTGTCACTACTTCAGGAGGGTGATACCGGATTGTTTTCTTTGTGCTATTTACCCTAATCCAATTTGAAGGAACTTTTACATCAGATGATAACTGCAGCCAAAATGAATAACAATATAACTTTTTACAACTAACCATTAATTCTATTTAAACAACTCAACTTTTTATAACTTGTCCTGACTAGTGAACAAGATGAAATAATAATTGGAATTAATTTTAAAGTTCACTGTAGAAAAGAAAACAAAATTGAAATATTTGGTAATAACGTAATATTTAGAATCAATTAAACAATCAAGAACCAAACCGATATTGCCAACAGACAATAAACATTTCCCATCCATCCTTATTTCCCATGGAGCGTGGTAAAAAGAAGCATGACTGCAATTTTCTGTAAAACCAATACTTAAAGTTTCAGTGTCTCAGTCAAACTACCTCTATCAAGTGAGTTACACCAGAAACAGACATATATTCCAAATTTCGCATTCCAAGCCGTTTGCGGTACAAGCCAATCAATGGATCTAATTGTTCCGTTGCCATCTGAAAAGCCTTTCGAGCTGTAAATACCTATTCATAGTCATATTTTTTTAGATAGATCAGAATCAAAGCAGAGTATAAAATGATCATATTTTCTTTGTAAGCAAATTATGAAGTGTAATTTTTTCACGCAGACAAACCTCTGGAAATTGTCCCTCGGTTGCAACGATCATATTTGCCATATCTCCTTTATAAGCAGAATCTTTATTTAAAGATGACAACATTTTTGCTGCTTTACCAATAACATTTGCAGAGGAAGCGGTTGAAATTAACTTCTTTAACAAACCAGAGTACAATTTATTACTATTATTATTGTTATCCCCCTCTCCTATGTTAAGTTGCTGAAGCTGTTTTCCAGCAGACAAAATAGCTTGAATAATGGCAATAAACTGTAAAAAGACAGCATGTTTGAAGCAATCAATAGCTAGAAGCTTTATGGTCAATTAAAAAAAATTCAAGTGAACTAATACCAATTTAATATAATATATGAACTTAAATGACTAAGTACAACAGTTCAGAAATAGCAATACTCTTAACCATTGTACTTCACGCTGCATTAAAACTCTAGTTCTCATTCTCAAACAGCAAAAACATTTTCACCAAAATAAATCATTTTATTACAGTTATTCACTTTCTTAACCACAGAAAAGTTCAAACACTCGCATCAAACCGTGGAAATTCAAACATGCACAAACAGGGAATCTTGTCATTAAGTTAATAGAATATGTATAGCTCTATTTGTATCTCCCTCTCTAATGTAGAGATTCAATGCGATCAGAAATCACAGGAAACATAGGACAGTTGATTAAATTACATAATATAGTGAAATACATGAACATCCAACAAAGAGCTATTTATAACCTCAGATGGGGTAGCAGTGCAATGGAAAATTCTTGTAATCCCACGCTGTATATCAGGTGCCCGGCCCAGGGCTTTCAAAACCAATGAAAGCATGTGTGCTAACTGAGGCTGCACAATCGCTACATCAGAATCTTCCTCGAAACATCCAAGATTTTTCATGCCATTACAAGTTCCCATAGAGTCCGCGATTTCAGATACAGCATTAAGACGGGCAGAGATCAAGGTTTGATCACACAGTGGGTGTGTTACCTGCATCATGCACATGAACAACAATTAAACAAAAAACTTTTTCTCCTGATAAAGGGAAGAAAATCGAGAATATAGCACAATGATGGTATATAAGGAATGGAAGCATCCCATACCCAATGCCTAAGAAGCCTAGAGCCAAATATAGTAAGAGTGTGATTCATAGTTTGTAGCAAGGAACCACTATCAGATCCATCGCTGTTATTTTGTAAGACCTGATAACATATGAAACATTCATTAGCAGCAAGAATCTGCAAGATAATTTTAAGCTCACACGAGGAAGGAAAAACCAAACAGTACTAGCTTATGTGACCCATGGAAAAGAATAGAAGTATACATGCCGTTGTTAAGAGCCAGCAAAAAGCCAAGATACTTTACCATTATACTCTAACTACTTTCATATAAATCTATAAGAACTAATGCCTAAACCAAAAAAGAAAATGTAGGTTTATACATGCTGCAGTCACCAGCCAACAAGAAGTCCTCGAAATATAGTTACAATAATTTAATTATTTTATATTATATGAATCTACAAAAACTAATACCTGAACCAGCCAAAGAAAGGGAAAAAGGTGTATATGATTAGATTAATTAATAGACATATATCCATGTTCCACGACCATGCCAGAAAATGTTGGTCCAAGTCAAGTTAATAGGATTAGTAATTAGTGGAGACTCTTGTGACGCTATGTTAATGGGGCCATTTTATTGGATATTCAAGTTTACCTTCGTTATGACTACCTTTTTGATGATCTCTGTACAAAACTTTATGTAGTTTATTTCCATCACAAAATGATAATGTGAGCCATTTCCATCCACTAGACAATACATTTGATAGCTTATAATTGTCACACTTCCAAACAAAAACAAAAACTGAACATATACTGCAGAGGTATAAAGTATGCTTGTCTTTTTCTTTTATTTTTGAGTTAAGTATGTTTTGTCACTATCACTCTCAAGGAAAAAAAGGAAGCTTATAATTACCTCCAGTTGTAGTAGTGCATTGGCTGAGAGAGTCATTTCAGTATTGTTTACAAAGGGCCTTAAAGCACCTGAGCACAGAATTCTTTCAAAACCAAATCCCTTCAAATGGCGTATAGTTAAAGCTAGAGCTTCGACAACCAAATCTGGAAGGTTCATGGCCTCCTATATAATTAAAAGAGTAGAAAACAATGTTATCGAGAGAAATTGCAACAAAAAGAAATGTATAGCTATAATCTGTAAAGTAAAATAAAATTTGTAGGCATGTGACTTTTTGAGGGAAGAAAAATTTAACCCCAATAAGACTTAAATTTTAAAATAAATATTTTGAAATTTAGTAGTAGATTGAATTATTATCATAAACTACAATTCGCTACAACAACAATAACAACGTCAAATCCTTTTTGGAGTTTGATTACATGGATCAAGCGGCTTATCGATTAAATTTGAAGACAGATCATTTGTCTCTAAATCTCTCGTAGTGGTTCGACATAGTTTTCTTTGGTCCACCTCTACCTCTGACTAATGGAGTATCATCCATCTAGTCAAGATCCTTACGGATGCTTCTAGATACCAATGATTTTACATGTCTTCTTCACACATTCTGATAGAACCCGTAAAATCAAGGTAACAACAGTATATATTATTGAATGGAAATGGATTAGTTTAAGAGAACACAATGGTGGCAAAACTGAAAAGGAAATGATAAACCAGAGTCCGTGAATTTTATTCCAGAGCAAAGCTCCTAACCAGAGATAACTTTCCTAACCAACTCTAACAATATTTCTGAATAACTCTCAACTTCCTCTCCCTCTCTTACAACAGAAATTCCCTAAAATCAGGGAATATCCTAACTAACTCTCATTTCCCTTCTTCTACAACCTTCTAGGATATGGCTGGGTCTAGGTGTCCTATCAATGCCACCCTCTTATAAACAGCATTGTCCTTAAGGTTGAGAGTATTTTTTATTGACCTTTGTTTGGAGAAACATTAACTTGTTAGAGAGAACCACATATAACCGAGCCTTCTAAGAAAGATGAAGATGGACAGCAGCTGCTGCACCCATACACTTGAGGACCCAATTCCACCTCTCATTTGCCAATTGTAACTCCTTTCTTGATAGGTGTGGCTCCATAATTCAGAGAGTAACATCAACTTGCAGACTAACAATGGTCCCGTAATAGTATTCAACTTGCGGTATTCCACATTACTTTTTATTCCTCAAATTTTCCCTCTATCATATACTTCCTCTGGCCTGATCTATAAGCAATTCTTTCAACTTTCATACATATTAAGAAGTACTAATTTTATGTGAAAATTGAGTGGTATGGACAAAAATAACCTCATCCAAGTGAAAGGCCATAGTATGTGCACCTTTTTTACATGAGCAGCAATCAGAAATCAGTATATTAACTGTGCACACATTCTTTGTATTTTTCCAAAACCAATACTTAAGATTTTACTATTTGCACAATCATCTGCAACATCCACATCTGAAGTATTCCTCCATTTTATCCGCCGATCCTACCTTTGTATCCTTTTCACTTTGTATGATAGACCCAAGTTATTCAAACACGAGATTTAAGGTATTGTAGGTCCAATTTCCACCGCTAAGTGACAATTTGTGCATATCTTACTCCTTGTATTCCATATTATGTTATACTCCTACTTAAGCAAAAGTAAAACAGAACTTGACTCGTATACTACAATGCACTAAAATTACAAATTCCAAAGAGATGCTTTAAAATCATAAGACAGAATCTGACTAGTAGAATAATGCATACTCGAAATAACAAAACGATAAATGAATTTAAGACTTCTTCAAGTTTGCAGTAAGGATACCGAGTTTAATAAACAATTAAATATCAGTAGTTGGTACCTTGACTTCCATCTGCTGACTTTTATGCTCAGTCAATTCATTGCCTTGCATCAAATCTGATGGACTATCAACACGCATGTTTTCATACAAGGTCATAACTTCAGCTAAAGCGCCTCCATCAGTGAAGCAATCTCGTGAGGCACGCTCCACACGAGCATTTGAGGAGGGTCCAGCAAAAGCCAATAATAACTAACAATACATCAAATCACAGTTGGATCATAGGGTTAGAGAACTTATTTATAATAAACCAACTGAGCTTTTGAATCCCTGTAAGTAAACTATCTAGTGTTTATGAAAACAGGTCTCCTTTTAAAGATTACACGATTTAACAAGAGGATAAAATTTCCATCTTTATAAATAATAGCAACAGAAATTTTCTGAAATATTAAGAAATAAGCTTTCCAAGCATTGAAATTAAAAACATTTCAACCGTCTTTAAATGGTGATGTGTTGAATTACAAGAAAAGAGATTGAAAAATCATGTCGTGAGGACAAACATGCACAATGCATAATGGTAAGAAAAAATTCTGAAATCAGACATCTAAAAATACATGGGACATCATGTTGGTCCTTCAATGATTTCAGACATCCATTTGTTCCGATTAAAACATCCATTTAAATTTTATGGCAACTTTGTCCCCTGTCAAAATTTCATCTATTGTATTCAAAATGCAAATGTGAATTAGAAATTAACACCAACTATTTGACCAAGATAAGGGACCTGTATTGTATCAGCATCTTCCAAGCTAAATCAGAAATTCACACCAACTATATGCACTTGGTAAGGAATTTGTGTCGTATCACCATCTTCTAAGCTTAACTTAAATTTTCATATTTGATAATCAGAATGTATTATACGTTACTGTTAGGCTTTTATAATAAATATTAGAATTTGGACTTTAAGTTTTACTGAACCACAGTCGGCTAAAAAGGTGGGGAAAGATTGGTCAAGCCTTATAAGAGCTAATTTGGCCACCCTCGAGTCAACATGGGATCTAAACACACCACAGGACTGAAACACCTGGAGTGTTGACAACTGCAGGTGGCCCAATAACAAAGTTCTTAACAATAAACATCCTTGCCTGTGAATATTTTTCCTTTTCCAATAACTGGAAGAAAAAAAATATTTCGTTAAAAAAATAAACAAATTCAGTTATCTAAATGCTTACACTTTTAAAGATCCTCAGCCAATAAGTAATGACTAATGATGACATTCAGAATATTTAAACGCCGTCCTCTAAATTGTTCTATGATAGATACATCATCCATTGCTGTATCAAGCATCAGCATTCCAACAATCAAAGTCGTTTCAAATAGATTCTAGCAAGTCGCAACTACAACTGTTCTATTTATAACTTAAAAAACCAATATCACAATTCTTTATGTGTGAACGAAAATAGAAAAACCTTGGCAAGAAAAACAACCTTCTCAGTTTGTTTGGAAAGAGGATCCCCAAGAAGCAACTCAGCAGGAGACAAGCTAACAACGACAGCCTCAAGTTCACTCCTCAAAAAATTGTCATTAAACTCTCTATAAACAACATCTCCCGTTGATATCTCCACACCAACAATCCCAATCCTCACATCAAAACCAACTTCCACACCAAAATTAGATTTTCTCTCCCCCAAAATGCTCTTCTCCACAACACACAGCAAGTAGTTACTCACTGACCCACACTCATCTTCCCCTCCCCCTAAATCCTGAGCCGCCTCCAGCGTGGCCTTCGTATACAATGCCGACAAACCTCGGCAAAATGGCCCCGCCCGGTTCTCACCATGGGCCTTAATAGAAGCAGTCTCAGTCTGCTTAACAACACCAACTTTATACCCTGCACTCACAAGCCTCCTCACATGGACATGCAATCGAACAGTTGGTATGCTAGCAGTTAAAAAGTTATGATTCATATGTGCATATATACCCAAAACTCTAGCAGCAGTCTCGGCATCTTGGCCGAAAAACCGATACTTGTAACCAACTTCAATCATTAAAAGAACATCAGGGTATTTAGCTTTGAGTTCCACTACCTGTTCCTCTAAAGGAGTAAACTTTACCGGTTGGGAAGACGAAGGGAGTTGTGGGTCTGAAGGAGGAGAAGGTTCTAGAAGCTTCTGGAGGAAGCGTTGGTGGAGGGAGGGATTGGATGGAGAGGGTACAGGGTTTGGGGAGAGTTTGGGTTGTTTGTTAGGGGATGATGTTAGTTGGGAGATAAGGCGGCGTTTGGATGGAGAGAAAGAGACGGTGGTGGAGATTTTGGGAGTGGGAGGAGTGGGACGAGAGGGAGAGTATGAGGGTGGAGGCGAATCGGTGGTTGATGAAGGGGGTTTGGGTTTGGGGGCGAAGAAGCGGGAAATTACTTGTTGCTTTTGCTTTCCCATGTTTGTGGTGGCGGTCGGAGTTTCTCCGGTGGTGGTGGTTATGTTAAGTTATGAATATTTGGCGCGCTTTTGTAAGGAGTGTGAGAATTGCGCGGCCAAAAGAATTACTGTCAATTTATCAACTCGTTGGAAGTTAACATGATGAAAATGAAACCTTTTTTAACATGGATTCTACTCCACTTGATGAAAATAAACAAAAATGAAAAACCTCCTTATTAGGGTTTAATGGCATTCTAATTTATTTTTGAAATTAAAGATGTGCGATAGTGGAAAATAGTTTTCAACTATCATTCAATAAAATTTTATCATTAGTTATGTCATATCAGTGGTTTAAAACTATAAATATGATTTGATATAATAGACGACCTTAGTTAAATGATAATAAGTTCATGTTTTTTTTCTCTTTATTTTTCATTAATTTGTTGGATTTGAGATTTCTCTATATTTAAATATGTAATTTAAGTTTTTTTATTAGTTTAAGAATTTCAATCCTCTTATTTTCAAAATTTACAATTTTCTATTTTATTTTATTAATTTTAAAAATTAATATATATAATTTAAAGAGTTTAATTGGTATGCAATAATAATATAAATTAATTTTATATTGTCATTCTATAGGAATATATTAATCTGTCATGTCATACAGTTAATTTAAAATTTACTGATGTGGCGGGATGTATGAGAGTGATTGGTTGACAATGTAAAATAATTTTATACTGTCAGTACATATCAATTAAATTCTAATTTAAATAATGTTAATATCAAGTTGCTAATGAAGTCCCAAATTTAAGTACTCATTTTTTGTAACTCTAAAAACATCCCACTTTGGGTGTCATAAGCTTTAACGTATGAGTGTGAGTAGATATTCATTTGAATCGGGGCATCGAAGCATGTTTAGAATATTTGAGTTCATCATCTAATCTGGGTTAACCTCCTCTTTTGTGAACTTTATCGATTTTTGCAACATTATTGTTGTCGTGTGTGGGAAATGTTTCACGATGTTTCTAGTGTCTTTCACACCTTGATGGCGAAATGAGACCTTACTGAAGTGCCTTAAGTAAAAAAAACATCACATACACAACCAATATAACCACGGCGAGAAGGTAAAGTCTAATAGAAGGATAATGATGCATATCCATCTCCGACATCAACTATCCGATGGAACTTTTCAACCATTGAATGATATACACATTGTGGTCTACAACGTGGGACGGTTATGCACCTCTTGGAAAGACATATTCATACTTGCCCTGACTACGTTGGAGCGATAAATCAAGCTCATCGCAAATGCAATGAGTCTAATTTCAACTATTGGGATGAGGTGTTCCTGAAGTACCTTAAGTTGAACACATTGCAACCACAACCAGTACAACCACTACGAGAAGATAGAGTCGAAGAGAATGGGGATGGGCAAACTTATCCCTGACATCCACTTTCTGACGGGGTTTTCAACCATTAGGGTGATATACACAATATGGTATGCATCTTAGGACGGTTGTGCACCTTTTAGAAATACCTACTCATCAACATTCCAACTACATGCAGAGCGACAAATCATACCCAAATTGTGCGAAGGGGCTTCCCCTATTTAAGTATAAAGATATGTTGTTATCTTATTGGAGAACTAAGGAAAAACTATGTCGTTAGTGCGACGTGTAAAAACTCATCGACAAGGGGGAAACCCATTATTTTTTCTTTAAAGTGTGACCTGAAAAGATAGAAAGTGATGTGTCGCTACTTACTATGCACTCGAGTGCACTTGAGTTTGATTGTGTTTTCAATTTGAAATATGACAGTTGGTTTGCATTTGCTTCTTGCTTTCAATCTGATACGTTTGATTGCCTTCGTCTAGATAGGTAGAGGAAATTTAAGGGAATTTTCACATCCTTTTTTATTGAATTTCTCTTATTTCCTTTGAGTCTTTCCCTCTTCTCTGAGAGTGTTTTTCCTAGAGTAATCGTCATCACGTATTCAAAGCTTCAACCTTCTCCTTCGTTTCAATGCCTTTGACCTTACACTTCAAGGTACCTTCTTCCAACTCAAGCTTTTTTCTTCAAGCATTTTTTGTCTCTTTGTAAAATGAATGATAACTTTATTAACATGGAGAGTGACTCGAAAGGTAACATTTCCTCCTCTTTGAAAAGGGGAATGAAATTTGAATCGCATTCCCTTTCTTTTGTCAATGGGGGTTTTGAGTCAGTGATCATATCCTTGATTGATAACTCTGACGTGGAAGAAGTGTCGGCGGACTTCTTTTTTGAAAGAGCTTCTTCCAGCGATCCTTTAGAGGATCTATCCTCATGGAAGGCTATAGGGGTGAGGATCCTATCGAGAAATTGATGTCTCCCATATTTTAACTAAGGTGGAAATAGTAGTTACCCGACAAATAAGAGAACTTGTCAGTGAATTTGTCTGGCTCTATCTAAGGGTGAAAGGTCGCGAGCCTAGCGACACTAAAATCGCAAATCATTTGAAGTACCTGGGAATATCCAAGGTTATATATTGGATCAGACTATGTGATCACTTTAAATCTGACGAACTGGCCTGAAATGAGAATTCGGTTAGTGAGGCGGATAATGCCAACAAATACTATTGGGTGGATGCAGAAGTGTTAGGGATTCATTCCACTATGAAAATTATTGTGGCTATAACATATTATGGTTGGCAACCCATATGATTGGTCATTTCTTCTAATTGATCCATCTGAGAGTATGTGCAACTTTTTTTAGGGTTGCTCGGTCGCCCTGAATGAAAGCCTCTTTACTAGGTTTGGGGTGTGTGTGCCCTTTTCTGATTTTGAACTAGTTGTGATGAACCTTTTAAGATATTTTCCCTCTCCCCGACAACTTCATCCTTGAGCTTTGGCTTACATGAGCGTGTTCCAACTTTGTGTCGGGTATAAACTTTAGAAACCTTCCCTTGAACTCTTTTTTATCTCTTTTATGCAACTCGCACCTCTCGAGATGACGCTCGACGTAACACACTGGTTTTGATTTTAATATTTTATTTAAGTTTTAGAGTGCTTTAATTTAATTAGTATTATTGAGGTTGTTGGGTTTTAGTATAAATTATCTATATTTTTTATTTGTTTTTATTTAGTGTAGAAAGTGATAATATTTGGATTTAGTGAGAAAAATAAATTTCCTAATTAAATTAGAGTGGTGGATGAAATTGGTGAGAGTTGAGAGAAGTTGGTAGAATTCATTAAAATAAAAATAAAAAATATGTTTTTATTTAAATAGAGAATGGAAATAGAATGAGAGGATTGTTTGGTGAAAATAAGTTGTAAACAGAGTTGAGAGCAAAACCCTAGCAAAGCAAGAGTGAAAGAAGAAACTCCAGAGTCGTATATTCAAAGTTTTTCTACGAATTCGAGGTAAGGGGGGACTATTCATGATATGGGTGTTTAAGCACGAAGGTTATAGAAAGGATTCCTTATTCTTTTTCCTTTTTCCCACATTGATGAAATTGTTGAATCTTGAGATTGGTGTGTAAAACTCTCTAAATTTTCGTGATATGTTGTAGTTTCCTGCTTTGTTGATTGTTGATTTTCGTATGAATCGGTGTGCGTAATTATGAGTTTGGATGTTCATGTGTATATGTTTTGAATTTATGAATATAATGATGAATTTGAGGCTAATTGATGACGTAGATGATTAATCTGTGTGTTATTAATGTGTTAAATATTATATAATTGATGTACGATGACTTGTTATGCATATGGGGTTCTCTAGAATTGAAATTGTAGATCTAGAGGTGTAGTCATGAAAAAAAATGCTATTTTTGCATTCTGCACGGTGGTAACGGACGTCACATTTGTGACGGGCCAATCATCGCTGCATTGGGGAAGACGTTCCTTGAGGACGCGTTGAAGAGCGTCAATAAGGTGACAAGGATATCGTTAGAGCCTCTGAGACGGGCTCTATTTCCTAGAGATCAGTGTGATGACGGGAAATTGAGGGGGCGATGAAGAGTGGGCGTGACGGGCGTCATGCCTGGTGGGCTGACCCTCAGCAGTCGCCTCACTATAATGCGAATAGAACTTAGCAAGTTTCACAAATCTGGCGACATACTCATTAACAGTCATATTACTCTGATTCAGCTCCAGAAACTCAATCTTCTTCTTCCCACGAACATCCTCAGGAAAGTACTTCCTCAAGAACTCCCTACGAAACACAGCCTATGTAACAACTTCACCTGACGTCCCTGATACCTGACGAGTGTTGACCCATCAGTCATCAGCCTCCTCGGCTAGCATATGAGTATCAAACCGTACTTTCTACTCTTCAGAATAGTTTATCACTCGAAAGATCCTTTCAATCTCCTTGAGTCATGTCTGTGCTCCATCCCGATCATACCTACTTTTGAAAATAGGCAAATTATTCTCTTGGAACTTTCCCAAGTGACTGAACTCATCATTCCCACTAGCATTAGGCTGATTCTGAACAGCCTGAGCAGCAACCTGTAAAGCAGCAACAATAGCAACATCGTTCCTTCCAAACATTCTTGTTTTTCCACCATAAACAATAATAATGGTTAGCAGACAACAAAGACAATATTCAATTGTCACAACACTACGACTCAACAACTTGGTCAGACAGACCAACCTACTTTGATACCACTAACGTAACATCACAAATATATCATGTGCAATTTAAATATAAATTAGAGTATTTTCATCAAAATATATTCAGGATATCACACAATTTATACTACAGTTGCTCATATAACAAGATATGTAACACATGCAATTTATTTAAAAATTATTTATAATAACTATAACAACTCAACATGTCTGAAATCTCAAAACTCTATTGAAACAACGGAAGCAACGTCATAAAAAATTATTCATGGCATAATTATTTCTTTAAAATAACATAAAAAACGAATATTCTAGAGATATCCAAAAATCTCTATCAAACACATCAAAACACAATGTTCCCTGACCCTGGTGTTACGAGCAGACAACGACACTAAAAGAAAAACAGAAGACTTCATCT